CTCTCTCTCTCTCTCTCTCTGTGTGTGTGTGTCAGTCAGTCATGCTGCTGTCCGGCGTGGCTCGAGCGGTCACACAGCACTGCCGCAGGACTCCTGTCCTCACGCTCTTCACCAAGGTAATACTCTCAAACACACACACTCTCAGCGAATCATCTATCAGATCTCTTCCTCGAGCAGCACTCAGGAAATGACTGATAAATGCAGTCTCTGTAGCATCCAGAGTGCTGTTAACACCAGTGAAAGTAAGTATGCATCATAAAGCCTGCTGGAATGATGGAGTGCAGTGTCTGTGTTGTGTTTGTGTTCCAGGAGCTGTGTCCTCTGTGTGATGAAGCCAAAGCAGCGCTGGAGCCCTACAGACACAGAGTAAGATCCGCTCGCACTCCTCAGCTCTGTGTGTGTGTGTGTGTGTGTGTGTGTGTGTGTGTGTGTGTGTGTGTGTGTGTGTGTGTGTGTGTGTGTGTGTGTGTGTGTGTGTCAGTTTGAGCTGCAGGAGGTGGACATCACTCGGCCGGAGAACAGAGTCTGGTTTGACAGATATCATCAGCACATCCCGGTCTTTCACCTGAACGGACAGTTTCTGATGCAGCATCGTGTGAACGCAGTGCTCCTGGAGCGGCGTCTGGAGGAGGCTCAGTAACGTCTGGAGAAGCGCCAGCTGCACCTGATCCTGCTCTCTCTGCGTCATCACCTTCAGTCGCATCATTCTGAAGGAAGCATCAAGCGTCCAATCACCCACAATCCTTTGCACTCATCTAGCTCACAGAAAACAATCAGCACTGAGCTCGACCCATTTCATTATGCGATGCAAGATAAAATAATACATTTGGGAGATGAAGGATTAAATGTTTTCTTCAGTTTTGTTGTGAATGAATCACATAATGCTCAACTGCGTGATGTAAATCCCTGGCGCTTGTCATTACCTGCATTGAATTAATAGAAAGATTTCTAATATAAAGTATTTTTCTGTAATTCATTTTTTTGTGTTATGACTGCAGTGCATTCTCCACATCAATAAGCCAGTGGCCAATGATTGCTACAGAAATATTTGTCTCTGAATTAGGAACGAAACAGTTTTTACTGTATATTATGGTGTTAATGTAGTCAGCCACATAACTGATGTGGTGTTAAGACAGCAGCCAATCACCACTCCAAATTAACATACATGTCACTGTTGGTTCAACTTTGCTTTTTGAACAAGAACAAAATGACTCCAAAAAATGAATAACCACTTCTCCCTTAATAATAGATATAGTGCTATTATTGTTTTTAACTGATGTGCAACCTGTACATATATGTTAACATCTCAAAAAAATGTGTTTTAGGGTTTCATGACCCTTTAAACGTGAAGAGCTGAACATCTGCAGAATCGCTGCTCTCCTGTGGACTGTCCCAGCTCCGTCCGGTGCTTTTAATTCAATACTGTGTGTTTTATACACCACTCAAGCAGCTCTTCTGCTCCAGAAAGCATTAGCTGGACAAAGAGAACTGTAAAAAGGCAGATGTCAGCTGAAGCAGCAAACTACATGACCGCATCGTCATCAGATACTGAATCAAGCTCATCCAACACTGTTCATTCCTCTTTCAAGCAGGAGTCGTGCTTTCATGACCAGAAATAAGACAGAAGCTGGTGAGAGGGCTTTTCTAAAACCTCTCGTGTTCACAAATCAGACGTGCACATTAGCGACCAAGAGTAATGAAAGAAAACCCTGAAAATACATTCAACACTTTACTCAATCATTTGAAGTATAAAGGCTGCAGCAAAATAAAGCATGCATTTCTTAAAATAAAAGGTTAAAAATCAACAGTGTATGCGTAAGGCTAGTGTTTGTTAGATAGTACAGACAAAAGCAGTACAAAATAACACTTCAGCTCTGACAATCTGATCGGTAAAAAACATACAGTACTGAATCTTGAGGTTTAACGGCAGTGTTTTCATCGATCACACGGCCTCACGCAGACGTGCAGCACACAGTCGAAGAGAGACCCAATGCTGCACCTCTTCAGCAGGAATAGACAAAGCACTCATGGTCCAGCTCTGCAGGATAAAATCAGACCTGTGCTACATGTTCCTGCGGTCTGTCTGCAGAAGAGATGCGTCATCACGTAGTGAACTACTTCTGAACAGCTGCTTTAAATACAATGACACATCCATATTCAAACTAGCATGCAAATGAGTCTACTGTCTATAATAATCTCACTAAAAACTATGAGCCATTATAAATCTGTCTATAAAAGAGACCTAAAATGCCATCTTATAAAATTAATATGAACATGATTTAAAAAAAAAAAATGGTCACAGAATCTGACGTGGACGAGTCTAGAAAAGAGTCCTCACTGTTACAAACAAAAAGAAAACATTTGGTTCACTCAATTTAAGCGGATAAACATTTCACAAAATCTGAAACAAACTGAAGTGAAAAAGACTTTAAAAAGCATCATTAAAAAAAAAAAGATTCACTCAGAAAATGGGCCACACAGGAAGGTGGTTCAGCTGGCAGCTCTGATCACATGATCGCACAACCCCTCTTAGCAGTATGAGGATCTCCCTGTGGAAACAGAGCAGATCACTGAGCCAGCAGCTCACACAGACACAGACAGACAGACTCACACACACACACACACACTCAGACAGACAGACTCACACACACACACACACACTCAGACAGACAGACTCACACACACACACACACACTCAGACAGACAGACTCACACACACACACACACACTCAGACAGACAGACTCACACACACACACACACACTCAGACAGACAGACTCACACACTCAGACAGACAGACTCACACACTCAGACAGACAGACTCACACACTCAGACAGACAGACTCACACACTCAGACAGACAGACTCACACACTCAGACAGACAGACTCACACACTCAGACAGACAGACTCACACACTCAGACAGACAGAC